CCGGCCCGCGCCGGGATGGGGTAGGGACAGCGCCTCAGAGCCGGGCGATGGGCCGCCCCCTGGGCGCCGAGCAGCCCCCCGAGGCCTGACCGGCTGCGAAGACAGGCGGAGGTGGGTGTGCGCCTGGGGAGCTCGCGCTGGGGGCGCCGGGGTTCTGCGGGGGTGGGGAACGCTTGGGGAAAACGGGGGCTGCTGTGGATGGGGGGAGCCTGGGGAAGCTGCTGCCCTCTGTGACACCGCTTGACCCGCACAACTCTGCTCCCCTGCAGGAGCTCCGCCTGGATGTCAAGCGCAAGCCCCAGTGCCCCCCAGCGGACTCGGTGGGACCATGGCTTCTCTGATGCCCCTCTCCCCATATCTGAGCCCCACGGTCCTCCTGCTGGTCAGCTGTGACCTGGGCTTCCTGAGAGCAGGTGAGCGAGGAGGAATGAGGGTGGCGGTCAACCAGAGGTGGTGTGTGGGTGAAACCTGTTAACAGCCTGGCACCCGCAGATCGACCTCCCTCTCCTGTGAATGTGACGGTCACTCACCTCAGAGCCAACTCTGCTACTGTGTCCTGGGATGTCCCAGAAGGCAACATCGTCATTGGCTACTCCATTTCCCAGCAAGTATGAATCACCCTTCTGCTTCACCAACCTGTGTCCTTGGATCTCTGAACGTTGCTTTAGTTACCTCCACCCGCTCTCTAACTCCCTTCCCAGAGCTGGGGGGCCCTGGGAGCTGGTGTGCCCGGGCCCAGGCTGCCTTTCCACCCTGCTCCCTTGGCGTGCTGGGCTATAGCAGAGCCCCAGGCTGAGCCGGGGCTGAGGCTGTCCTCTCCCCTCATCTCCGTGCAGCGACAGAATGGCCCTGGGCAGCGTGTGATCCGGGAGGTGAACACCACCACCAGGGCTTGTGCCCTCTGGGGTCTGGCTGAAGACAGTGACTACACGGTGCAGGTCAGGAGCATCGGCCTTCGGGGTGAAAGCCCACCAGGGCCCCGGGTGCACTTCCGAACTCTCAAGGGCTCTGACAGGCTGCCCTCCAACAGCTCCAGCCCAGGTGAGGGCCTGTGCTAGTGGATTCACTGGCTTTTTACCTGGCTTTTATTCTCATTTCCCTCCCCAAAGCAAGCAGCAGTCTGGCTTAGATAAACAGATGATTTAATTCATTGTACTGCCAGGAAAGGAAGGAAAGGCAGGTGGGCAGGGACCCATTATAGACAGACTGCTAATGAATCGTTTGGGGGAAGGGCTTTGACGCTTCCTTTTACCCAGCCTCACATCACATGCTGCGTGAGCAAGTTCTGCAGGCCTCCTTCCTTGTGGCCTCTAACCACCTGTCTACCAAAGACTTCCTCCCAGACAGGAGCTACCCTAGGACTCCAGGGGCAGCACTGACAGGTCTAGCCTGACTGTCACCCCCACGACTCTATTCTCTATGTGACCCAGCTTTCCAGCATGTCCTCTGTGACATGGAGCCTGTCTCCTCTCTTCTCAGGGGACATCACAGTGGAGGGTCTGGATGGAGAGCAGCCGCTGCAGACGGGGGAAGTGGTCATCATCGTGGTGGTGTTGCTCATGTGGGCTGGTGAGCAGCTGGTGGGGGACCAGGGTCTTGGGAAGGGGGCTTAATGAAGGTGGGAGGTGGCAGAGGTCTGTCAGGAGAAAAGGGAGGAACGTGAAATAGGGAGTTGTTTGGTTGAAGGGGGATGGTAGGAAGGCTGGTGGGAGCCCTGAAATAAAGACTGCATGGGTACCCAGAATCCAGAGGTTTTATTCTTGGATTTTCTAGAAGTTGTGTGGGTACTCATTACTCTTCAAAGCGGTTGAGATGGGGGCTCACATGGTGTTGCTGTGTTTCAGCTGTAATTGGGCTGTTCTGCCGTCAGTATGACATCATCAAGGACAACGACTCCAACAACAACCCCAAGGAGAAGGGGAAGGGGCCGGAGCACAGTCCTCAGGGAAGGCCAGTAGGGACAAGACAGGTGACGTGGGGGCCTGTGAGGGTGGGAGGGTGAGGTGAGCTGGAGGACCAGCCAAGGAAGGTGAGGGGCCAGAGAGGGGCAGGAAAAGGGGGAGAAAGATCCGAGATGGAGGAGGCCCAGGAGAAAGAGTAGCACTTATTACTTTGCTGAAATTAGAGACCCAGGCCGTTCTCTTTCACAGAAAAAGTCACCATCGATCAACACCATCGATGTTTGAGTGAACTGCGTTTGGGTGAAACAACGGAACCAGAAGAGAGCTGCACTAACAACATGGGGATGGGGATGGGGTCAGGGAGAGCCTAAGATGGTGATTTGCCCAAGACTCCCAGAGGGTAATGTACTTCCACAATCTCAGGCTGGTGCCCATCCTCCTTCCACTGTGAGCAGGGCCAGAAGGTAGGTCTGTTAGAGTCTGCACCCCTGGACCTGGAGAGTGGATATCGGATGGAACATCTCTTCCCATCCCCCAGGTCCAGGGAGAGTCACTTGTCTAACCCTATCCCATTAGGTCCCAAATAGGGGCCCCATTTCACCCACATCAGGACACTTGGCATCCCCCGCTACCCCAACGTCTTGCCTCTGGGTCTCAGAGAAGGGTGTTTCTATGGGTACTCACCCTCCTCCAGGAAATAAAAGGAATCACCTAGGCCTAGAGGCAGACGTTACACTGCACTACTCCAATGTCTTCCATGGAGCCTCCGGTGCTCCCCCTCACTTGGTAGCCCGCCCAGCTGCTGGTGATCTCACCCCTTGGACATTTTTCCAATAAAGGTTCTTGAGCAAACTGGAGCGGACTGTATGGTACACTGTATGGTACGCTGAAGACATCTCCCCGCCCGTGTCTCGCCCGACTCTCCATGGCCCCCTCACATCACCACCAACTTGAGAGGTGCAGACTCACTGTAAGGTGTTTGCTTCACTTCTTCAGCCTGAAATGGGTGGGAAGGGACCAAGAAGAAAGGGAAGAGAAGACTACAGCCCTAGTTGCTTTTGCTTTGTTGGTTGCAATGGGTGGGGGGACAGAAGAGAAAGGTGTAAGTTCTTCCTGTGCTGGTGGGAACTGTTATGTCACATGAGAGGACTAATGGTTTATTTTCATTGCATACATCACTGGCCAAACTCCTCATCATTCATTCTTCTGAATCTTGCATTCAGTGTGCATGGATGGTCCAAAAAAGGACCGAGCAGTGTCTCAGGAGTAATCAAAGAGCA